AATTGGTGATAAGTGGATTGGCCATAACCCTTTATATAGTAGTAGATTAATTCTTGTATTTCCGATGTGGGATGTTTCTCATCAATATCCTCCCTCACGCTTATACATCTAGTATGAAGCGTGGACAATGTGGGAATAACATTCATAGAAGGCCCAACATCGGTATATTAATAGTAGTTGTAGTAAATTAGGTCAAAGGATCTTATCGCTCTGATACCATGAAATATTGTATGCGGAATTGCTTGTGTCATTCATTCACCAAAGATGTGTTTATAAACAATATATCATATGCAACCCTAATTAGGAATAGGAAATATAACTTATACTAAATCCCTATAAATAGAATATATCCTTATCTCATTAATTATTCTGGTCAATTCTTTTATATTTATGTACTTTCAAGTTTCTAGGTTTTGACTAAACCTTTTGTATACCACATTGCCTACTTTATAAAGGCCTAAGTATTTCCTTTGTTAATTCGTCGGAGTGTGTCATATCTTCGGGCTTAGAAATTGGTAGTATCAAGAGACTTTCCGCACCTCTTGTGTCACCATTCCATCCACACCCCCTGATTGTTTGTGCTTTCTCGCTCATTCGGTGCAAGGCTTATCCAATCCACCAACCTTGGAGTGAACCTTCAATTTAGGGCGTACCATGTGGTATCAGAGCCACTCTGAGGTTCAGAATTCTTCACAACCAGACATTCGTAACTAACCATCTTCTAAGAGATCTAATGTGTCTTTTGGACTACTAAAGAGAAACCATGAAGATAAACTAATCATTTTTAACTCTTCATATTCTAGGAGGTCACCTGTGTTTGGGCTACTGATCAACCATGAAGAGGAGGCAGCGCGCAAAACACAAGAAGAAAAGTTGCCAGAATGGAGGTATAACAAACGCACAGCTGAGATAATAGCAGAATATGAGCGTGACCAAGAGAAGGAAGTCAAGAAGTCACGAACTGAGAGAGACAAATGGAAGAAACCACTCAGCAAAGAAGGTACAAAAATCTCCATTGATTCTGGTTTAGTGGGATTTAGAATGAGCAGCACAAAGAAGGCAGTCCAAAAGCCACAATCAAAACCGGTTGTAGAGACTTCATCAACCAGAACTGAAGAGAAGAGGAATAATTGTTTTGAGAGATGGCTGGAGAATTTCAAGGCTAAGATCCATCAAAGGATCACAAACCCACGTCCATCTTCAGCTTTAGAAGAAGATCAGGAGGCCAAAGATATCGAACCGGAGCTATTGACTGTTTATGTCCGAGCAGAATCTAAGGAAAATATCGGTCCAATCTTTGATGAGGAGGAAGAACCAGAGGCTGTAAGTGTTCCCCTGGCTGTTCAAAAAGTGGCTGAAGATGTGGTGGATAGAGGACCAGAAGCTGATCATGAAAAATATCTCACACCCACTTATGATTCAGGTGATATTCTCGGTTCTTTATCAAGTGATAAACTGGTTCAGCCATTCGTTTGCAAGGAGTACGACCCAAGTGAGCTACTGAGACCTGTAGAGGATATACATAAATTCATATTTGAGCCTGGAATAGGAGCATGTGTGCACAAGAAAAGTAGAAACACCTTGGCTGAGCAAAACCATGTCGGTTCATTCATCCTAGATGGTTCAGATTTGAGGACAAATCCTTTTAAAGGAGAAGGGGATGATGCGACCCAAATCAGCAGCTATGTCTCAACGAGGAGATTAAGGTACGAACCAGCTAAGCAACTGATAATAGCTTGGCTTAATGGGCATTTTATGGGTCTTATCGGTTTTATCCATGAAGTTCTAGACAGAGAGAAGCAAATAGGCTTGATGCAGAACGTGAATGCCTTTTGCTCAATAAGATATCAGTGTTTGGATTTGTCCAAGAAAGATCCACCAAGAAAATATAAGCCATGGTCGTATAATATATCAATCTAACGGTAATTCCGAGATCTTAAACCATGCAAAAGGACACGACCAGCCTAAGAGTCATTCAACAAAAACTGTCCAACTTTTTGTCAAGTCAAGGACAACTATTATTCTGGTTAAGTCTTTTATATTTATGTACTTTCAAGTTTCTAGGTTTTGACTAAACCTTTTGTATACCACATTCCCTACTATATAAATGCCTAAGTATTTCCTTTGTATTTCATTCAAGTTTTTAAGAAAAACCTTTCTTTTTAACTTGTTGAATCATTTGTTTTTCAACGGACATCTTATCTTTTGAGTCGTCGGATTGTGTCATATCTTCGGGCTTAGAAGTTGGTAATATCAAGAGACTTTCCGCACCTCTTGTGTCACCATTCGATCCACAGCCCTTGATTGTTTGTGCTTTCTCGCTCATTCGGTGCAAGGCTTATCCAATCCACCAACCTTAGAGTGATCCTTCAATTTAGGGCGTATCATTGGGTCACCCGGTCAGGTCTTAGGGTCCAACCATTAGGCCGATGGCTTGGGCAGTCCATAGTCACAATCCATGGGCTATAGGAAGGGCCCAGGCCCATGTCTTATCTGCCAGAGGGCAGTTATAGGCGGATGGATGCAAGTGGCAAAGGGTTTAGGCGAAGAGATGCGATGGGACTAAGAGGTACCCATACGTCCACCAAATGGTGTCTTTTCGGTCTAGGCAGTTCCTCATGCCTTCTCCTATATATAGAGGACCCTGGGCACGAAAATAATCATCATTATTCATAAGAAAACACAGAGAGAAAGGCGAGAGAGAAAAAGAAAGAAAGTGAGAGAAATCAATCCTTAAAGGTAAATATTGTTCTTTTGGTGAATCCGGCAAGGATGTTTGTTTGTGACAAGGAAAGACCGACCAGTATGAGCACTAGAGGAAAGGATAAAGACTTCGAGAAGGGATCTAAGACTACAGAAACAAACGTTCAAGGTAATGGATGTGGTCATGAAACCATCGCCCACAACCATCGACCGGTTGATCGAATTGTTGGGCCGGTTTTGATTGGTTGCATCCAATCTCTTCCTATTCTATTTTAATTACTTTCTCTTCATATTCCTCTGTATTTGCGTGAGGAATGATGTGTTTTGGTGTCGGAATTGACTTGGTAAAGAGCCACGATCATGTCAGAGTGAAACCAACCATGGTTCATGGTTAATGGATGATGGACGGATGGTCTGTTTGGTCATGGCTATGGATCGTATTGCCTTTTTTATCAAAGGTGAAATCCATGTGTTTTTGGTATTGATATTGGATATTGAGCCAAGGTCTTGGGCCGGCCCAATTAGTATGGATCAAGGCCTAGTGGGCCGGTTTATGTGGATGGCCCAGTCGACAATGGTGTGGATCGGTTTGGTTTATCCGATGATTTTTTTCTAACCATGGACAATCCGGCTATGGTGTAAGTTGATAGGGTTGTTCTTAGATGTGATCTAAGGATCCCAGACCTTTGAGAATGGGTCGGAATCATGTTGGTATAGACCGGATCATGTTTTTCTTAATTCAATCATATAGGGAGATGGTGGGATGCAATGTATCGGCCATTCCATATGGAGCGAGATGAGAAAGCCTTGTTTGATTTGATCACGGCCTGATCCACTAGAATGTGATCTATGGATGGATCTGAATGGTCATTACCATGTACCAATGGTGAGGAGTCGTGACCATTCATCAAGGGTTATTCATGACAGATAACGAGTGATCGCAAACTCTCTAGGATAGACCGATTGGTCGCATGATCTGTAAGGACTATTGATGGCTATTGATGACTATTCTATTAACCATAATCAGGATTGGAATGATGGTATGAGGAATACCTGATATAAACCTTGGTGTTGGTACACAAGGCTAAATGATTGGCTAAGAGCCACGAAGAAGAGTATGATTAGTGCTATGAGTCGTGGACCATAAGTACTGAGCTTACATGTGCTTCTTCAAAGAAGGCCGTGTAGGATTTGATCATATTTGAGTATGGATGTTCTGAACCATAGATGATGGATCAAGGAATAGGTTCTAACTTGATAAGAGATGCATTGGTTTGGAAGACAAGGCTGATCGGACTTGTTGGAATGTTGTTCCATGGCCGATCAAGCAAGAGTGAAGACTCATCAGTTTTGAATCATGTGGGGTGGTTGGATGATTGACTTAGGATCTGATGGGCGTTCTCAGTCCAGGGGATGGACTTGATGTGGTAAGCCGTTGAGGCAAAAGGATGATGTATGAGCCAAGAAGGGCTATATGCTTATCATTAACCGTTTGAAAACTTCTCAAAGGTTACTTTGTCTATGGGGATGGTTGGCTGAATGATTAAATACCAAAGGGAGTTGTTTTGTGCAGGAACAAAGATAAGAACCGAGAAGAGACATAATGAGTTGAATAGCTCAATAGACAAGCAAGAGTAATTCTGATCAATGGAGGACCGATGAGCTAACAAGCTCCGTGGATGTGGCAAAGATATGAGTTAGTAAATACATGGACTGATTAGAATGGTTTAGGAGGATGGAACCTCAGATTAGAATGACTTGAACCGTGTCGAGGATTGATCAATAAGCTAGATGGTAGTTAAGTGAACTAGCCATAATTTAGACAATTAGACCGGACGAGTATTAGATTGGATTTATTCCAATGGTTAGTTAGAAAATATTCTATGCGTATAAGTTGAAATGATCAAAGCTATGAACGGCTAAGTTAAGCAAAGTTTTAAATAAAGGGCGAAAAATTCAGAGGTTCGGTCAGGAAATTGACCGAGAGACATGGTACTTCGACTGCGGCCTAGGCGGCCGGGTCGGAGTGTTACATCAATAATCTTGATTCAACATCTATCTTCGAAACTTCCCAACAATATATATATGGAGAACCATTCATCATGGATTTGTGTGCTGAGGGGGAAACTGTGTAGTGAATTTCTATATGTGAAGTTGTTCATCATAATTACATACGGAAAATAATTATATTAATAGAAAAAGTTCCACTTCATATTATAGTTTTTCGTTGATCAATCAAAGAGGATTCAAATAATGACAACTGGTAGAGCAAATATAATTTATAAATTTTTAGAAAGGATTTTTATTGATCATAGCACAATTTCCAGATATCTGGAAAGAAAATGATGGAATGAAAGAGGTACAAGAGACTTAAATAAAGAAGCCAAACAACAAAATACAAAAATAGAAAAGGAAAAAAAAGTTAGCTAGTGCACAACTCAAACAATGCACTATTATTAATGTCTAAATAAGAATCACCACTTAAAGTTGGTTTTGGTTTTCGACATTCTTGTTCTGATCTTTCAAACCATTAATATTGTGGTTCTTGACCTTGGTCACTTGAATCTGATTCTCGGGAACATCGGGAATAGTAGGCGGTAGAAGAACCGCTGTATACGAAACTGGACTGGGCGTAACAGTGGTCAGCTTTGTCATGTCAATGGTATGGTCAGACATCGTTTTGGATTCCTCTGTCTCTTCAGCCACCGGAGTTTTGTAGTACTTGAAGATTATGTAGAGAATCATTTGAACAGCTCCTAAGAACGCGCCCAACACATTTGGAAGCTTCAAAAGTTTAAAATTAGATGTAAGGACATAAATATTCTACTTATTGCCGACATACAGTGTTGAACGAAGAAAAAATTACCGACATCACAACAGAACAAATTACACTTCGTGTTTCTAGTATTATACTGTAAATTTAGTGGGTCCAATTATTTATATAATGCTCTAATCATATGCGTACGGTTTACAATCATATATTCGTCGACACCGCATTCATATTATACCAAACAGGCTTTGCATATGTAGTTTGAATAAGCTAAAAGGAACAAAGGTAAACTACTATTTTTACTTTATTACGAACCACCCATAATAATCTAATCATATAATGTTGTGCTGTCTTTTTTAATATGCTCAGAGATTACCGAAACTGAATAAAATAAATAAACTCACCGCAACAAAGAAGTCTTTAATAGCGAGACCGTAGAAGAGCCATGTGACGGCGCTAAGTGTAAGAAACAACGACAACGAGAATGGCATAAACTCCACACTTCTTGTTCGTATAACAACTCTCTGCACCAAATTATTATTGTTTATTTTAATATTTAATATATAATGTTCCATATAACCAGGAAAGAAGAGTCAAGTAGATATCTAGTAATATAAATAATTATTATGCTCTTCATAGTTATAATACGTAAATTTAGCATGCTTCTTTTGCATAGATAATCTTATTGTTTGTATGCATGTATAACAGTGTAACACATACATAATACGTACCATAATACTTAAAGGAGCTGCGAAAACAATGACGGAAAATCCAACGCAAATCCCTCCGAGAACTTTCTCACGTGTCGATCCTTTGGTTAAGAGCTCGCAGACAAGAACAATGGCGGCAAAACCCAAAAGGTTCAAGAGACCAAGAACCTTTAAAGTGGAAATCTGCAACATCATTTCAACCATCGATCTATGAGAAAACCAGATAAAAAGGGATTTATATATCTATATATATATATATATAAGCTGCTCAAAAAAAAAAAAAAAATATATATATATATATATATATATATTTGTGTGTTTTCGTATGGGCATTTCTAAGATCAACGTGAAGGGAAAAAATAAAATGTTTCAACATACTCTAGTTTTCTTGTTAGCATAGGTTATGAAAAGGATGATGTAGATGGTTTCGATGAAGCAGCCAACAGCGTTTATTGTGATGAGAAGGAAGCCTGAGCCATCTTTTTGCATAGCATAGTAAATCCAAAGCAATGCGCTAAATAGCGCTGAAAGATAGGGAAGAGACTGAAATCCTTCGGTAGATTTCTTCTTGCATATCCTTACAAAGGTTGGTCTACACAAGATTGAAAAAAAGTTTTACTAACTCGATAAAAAGACAAGAAAAGAAAACAGAGAGATTAAGAACATGTTGATTCTTACACTGGGGCTAAGAATACGACGAATGATATAATGTTACCTGCAAATTTACAGCGTAGAAAACATTATTTGTTTAACATACAAAAAAAATACTTTGCAAAAATAAAAACATACAAAAAAAATATCGTTCAAATGTTTTTTTTTTAACATACAAGAAAACATCCTTCAAAATGTTTTTATAGAATGGACCCATCTTAAAAAATGTTATATGGAGGCTGCCACTATATATTTGATTTGCAAACGAAAGTGTGAATGCGTATATATACACGTACCAAAGATTCCGAACACAAATGCCCATACATTGTGAGGTAGAGACATTTCTTTATGCTTTCTTGATTGTTTCTCTCTCCTTTAATTTTCGATCGGAATATCGACAAAAACTATGAACGGGAAAAGAAATATCTAAGACCAAGCGAAAGACAGAGAGAAAGAGAGCTCCTGAAGACTCTTTTATCTCTTGAAACTCAAGCTTTAGTTTTCTTAGTTTTAGCTATGAATTTACAATGCCAACGATGGCATATATATATAGAGGGTTCGCATGTGAAGGGGTGTAACGTGTACAAAAATCTATTATAGACCAAATGGGCAAAAACAAATCTACATCAACCTAAAAAAATCTATATGAACCCAAGTGAGTAAAATAACAATTTTGCCATTAATATTAATATGTTACGACTACATCGTTTTCAGAGTAGTAAGAGAAGGACAAGTCACATTATTGGTCTCAGATATTTCCATTTGATGTTTTCTTTTAAATAAAATTGTATGATATTTTCATATGGTATGCACTCTTGGTGTCTATTGAATTAGAATCAAACTTTATACGCCTAAGCTATGTTTATATTTTTAGTAACTTAATCACACGAATGACTTCTAACAATATCTTTAAAAAGGGAAACAAAAAAGAAAGTGAAAATAAAGAGTGGTCGATAGAGGTTTTTATTAACGTCAATAAATGAGTGGTTACTTAGTATTTTCGGCGTAACCAATAAGCCCTTTGATCGGCTGCTATATTTCGAGTAAACCATTAAAGTAGTATAGATCCCTATGACTATGATTAGTTAAAATCACCTTTTAAAGTTTATGATTCCCTAATAGTTAATCAGCGGGAGAGCTGATCGACCTTAGTGATTCCCCTATTCCATATTAATTTTCGTCAATCAAAGTGTTTAGAGTCGCACATGAATTTTAGACAATTTGTTATAGTTGAGCTAAAGCGAACTGTGATGTCATTTAGGTCAGTGTTGTTCAATGTTGAAATCTAAAATATTAAAACCTAAGTACAAATTTGAAATACCCCTTAATTTTATTCAATAATTACATTTTTATTCCATTGAATTTATTTGTTATTTATTGAAATTTAAATGTTTTAATAAAACCAATATTTTACCTACCTATTTATAAGAAACTAATCTTTATTAGAAATCTAATTATGAGAATTTTTTATAGCACAATTTTCATCGCCAGCCTTTTAATAATACAAAAATTTAATTGCAACTAACCAAATAAATTAAACTATTAAAATTAAAATTAATGTTTATTAATAAATTCAATATATATATATACTCTTTACATTTATAAATATGCATAATAAATATGTATAAATTTATAATAAAAATATCTACCTATTTATTTATTATTAGAAACTAAAAAATATATTCAACATAAATAACAGATTATTATAATAAAAGAAATAATATATAAACAAAAAAGAATGATAATTCACCTTCATTGTTATATATATAAATACATTTAAATTTTAACCCATAAGATATATATATATGTATATATACAACCAAAACAATGATAATTTTAAACAATTAATAAAATTGATACATATAGACTATAAAACTATATTAAATATATATTAAATATTGTAAGCATAAAAATGTATACAATCAATCATGTACGAATTTTTTTAACAATATAATTCTTTTTAAACACCTGCACGGACGTGCGGGTCAAAATCTAGGCAATTTAATTGTCACTTACCAAAGTAGCTATCATAATTAGCCTTATGGGGAGTATGCTCCAGCATTCAATCTGAGGTTTGGAACGGATTACAATGATTTAATCACTATAATTAAAGAGTCTCATGTTTGGCCAAGCTCGCTATAGAAATGGAGAGGATGGCTACACTACAAATTTGTTTTTCGGATTTCAGGATCACTCATATTCCGCGAGTGTAAAATCAGATTTCAGATTCTTTAACTATGACTATGAAGTCTTTCCTAGAAAACAAATCTAATGGCGAACTAAGCTCCTCGGAAACGGGGCCAAACTTGACAGGGCTTCGTTTCAGGGTTTTATCATTCATAATCCACTATAGCAAATTACCCTATGAAACTCGATCGATGGTCGAGTGTGATTGGCGATCGATGTCCGTGTTTCTACTCATCTCGCATGCTGTTGCTGAATGGTGTCTATTGCATGTCTCATCTTGTTCATGCGTGTAGTCAATCATGTAATCCTTCTGTCTATAGGAAAGTAGACATCATCGAGCCTATTGCAATAATCATCCAAAGACATCTCTTGGCCTCTGTAGACTACAGTCATCATATCATCAATGGTTGCTATGCTGTATGTGTCCAGTGGTGGAACTACTCTTGTGAATCTACTTGCATCTTCTGATTAACTGATAAAGCTGTACTCATGCATTGTAGCTCTTTCCAAAACTGCTTTGATGTCCTCCTTTGACAAATTGACGATTCTGCCATCTAGATCTCTGCTTTGTCATTCTCATCTTTGTAGATGCCATACTCATATTTTCTTTTTCAGTGGAAAAGTCTTTGTCCATTTTCATCAAAAGCTCGGTATCCAAATTCATTGTGACCGTCAATCGGTGCAGGAAGTATCATGTCGATCGATGCTGGAGCATTGTAGGTACTTGATCTATTGTGCTCAGCCTCCTTGTCCTCTGGATAGTTAGCATCGATTGATGCATGGTAGTTGCTCTCGATCGATGTTTGCATGTCTGCCCGGCTGTTGTATGGCTGGCAGGAGAGATTGCATGATCCATTGATCATTGCAAGAATATCTGCTACATCTTCTCTAGAGACATGTAGATATTGTCTGTCCATAGCTCTTGCTTAACCTTCAGGATATCTCGGTATGCTGAACTCAGCTGGTTGTAGATAACCATGCTCATCAACATATGCATTTGAATCTGGTGTTGGCTCTTCTTTCTGCGCAGTTTTGATTGATGGTTTAGAAGTATCGTCGATTGTTGGTTTCTATCGTATTTCCTCCATACTTCTGAGATAGTCGAGTACTTCCTGCGTATAACGACAGCGGTCATGATCTTCCATATAGATCTCATCTATGTGCGGATAAACTGGTTGGTGCATTAGCTCCGATTAGCTAAATGTTTTGCATCGATCGATGTAGGATTCTAAGTTTCATGGGAATATAAAAAAAGCAGCGTGCTTCAAAGAAAGACCATGGTACTTAATGAGTTCTCCCTCGCGGTAGTCCTCATCATACTCGTTGTAAGACTGAAGTTGATATGGATGTTGAGTGTCAATCAATTTTGAAGGGTGGGTATCGATCGATTACTAAACTAACTGTCGATCGATTGCATCCGTTGGGTATTGATCGATTCTCCATCATCTGACTCCTTGTTTTGCTCGTAATCACAGAAGCATGTGCTACGAGACCTGAATCATTACCCAATTTGATAAGAGAAGATCTATTCTTAACCTTAACAGGATCATAATAGTTATTTCGATCAATCAAAGACAGATACAACCTGTTTGTTGTCATGTTGCAGACAGCTCCCACTATAGCCATGAAAGCTCTTCCAAGTAGTTGGGAAGAGTTCCAATCTATCTGGATATGCATCACATGGAAATCTACTAAAACTAAGGCATTCTGACTCTGCAGTGGAACGTCTTTCACTATACCTCCTGAATTCACCTTGAAGCAATCCAAAAAGGTGAAAGATCATCCAGTATCACAAAGGAGTTTGGAATATTCGTGTTCAGCTTTTATGTTCCAGTATCATAAAGGGGATTAGGATATTCGTACCCTTGATGAAACATGGAATCACAAACTTCCCAGGATCACTTTTCTTCTTGAGATTGATCCTCTGCTTAAGCTTCTCTCTGAGGTGGTTGGAAATTCTCTCAATGTCTTCATCTATCTCATTGGTTTCCCTGAAAAACATCCACAATCTATGAGTATAATAAGCTTCATCAAATAGAGTATCTAAAGAAATTAAAAAAAAACCTCTTTTGGCAAAGCCATACATCTCTTTTTCATTTTCTTCTCTGCGGAGATGTTTGAGAATCTTTTGCTTCCTTCTGGAGTGTTTTCTTGTTGCCTTGTGAATCATCATGGGTTCTGAAGTGTCTGTGTTCTGCTCAGAAGTATTTGTACTCGGATTCTAACCAGAAATCTTGCATTGACTCTTGGCAAGTGAATAGGTTTGTCTGCTAGGTTCCGTCGATTGATGATTCCGTCCTTATGTCGATCGATGTTGGAAGATTCACACGAAGGCACTAACTATGTAGGTTCTGTCGATTGATGCTAAGCACTGGGTGTCGATCGACAGGAGTGAAAACTCCTAAAAGACATAGCACTTTCTACACGAAAATCTCCTTCTTGGAGCCTTTCTCTCTTCACCTCTTGCCAAACATCATCATCAATCAGTGCATTGACATGATACTTGTGTCCATTTCTTCCCTTTAATAATGATCTCATGTTCCTAATGGCCTTACTTGTCTGGACTACCTGATTCTCCAACTTCTTCACATGGGTGTTGAGGTTCTCAAACTTAGTGTTTAGGTTGAGATACATAACATATATTTTTCCTTTGAAGGTTATAGTCATCTGCTGCTGTCCCTCAAGTACTCTCTCAACCATTGCTTCTAACTTGCTCTCCTGAGTCTTTAGAGGTTTTCTTTGGTAGTAAGAAGATCCATAGGTCATGTTGTCGTTGTTGTTGTGGGGCCTATGTTATTGTGAATCCTGGTTGTAATTACCCTCCTAACTATTGCCATAGGAGTTTCTGTTGTAGCCTTGATTCTCAGATCTTTGGAAATCGTTTCAACCAATGTAATTAACATCCTCTTGTTCACTTTCAGCTTCTATAGTTTCGACTTCCTCTACAAATCTGATTTTCTTCTTGAGTGGATTGTGAACACTATCTAGCGTTGCTTTAACTTCATCAATCTCCTTCATGCTGAGTGATGGAGCCAATTTCTTCCTTTCATAATATGTGTTCTTTGTGCTGTTGTTGGATGCCAGATTCTCAATAAGCCTTAGAGCCTCTTTCTGGACTTTTGGTCCTAGAATTACCCTCACTAGTTGTGTCTAGG